ATTCCTGCTCCCTCTATTAGTCACATCAATTCACAGCTTCCTCTTACATCGAAAGGTTCTGTGTGTTCCAATACTCGCAAAATTCACTGCACTGCTCTTGGTGTCCGCAGACCCCCCTACCGTTTAACCTTCGATAACTAAACCTTTGATAACTAGACGAGAAAAATGTATCAGTGAAAGTGCATTTTATGGCATGTGTGTGTGTTAAAATCTTCTTCCTTGCCTATGTTGTTCCTCTGTTTTTGTAAACTTAAAAGAAAAGTTTCAGAAAATGACAGAACGATGAGAGAAGTTGTTACCCCCCCCCCTTAAATTCTCCGCACTTATATTTAAGGGGCTGACCTTGATAGCCTAGGATAGCCCGGTCTCATCAGATCTTGGAAACGAAGACCACTTCTGCACTGACGTTTTTGTCAATCGTTTGTCCCTATTGCTGCTCCCCCCCCCCATGTGTTTTGCTCACTCTGGGAGCACACGAGGAAGCAAAAGACATGTGGAAAGGTTGGGGGGGGACCCAAAGCGATAGGGACAAACGAGTGACAAAAGTGACAGTGCGGAAGTGGCCTGAGTAGAGTAGGCCCCGGTCAGCATTTGGATGGAAGACCACCAAGGAATACCAGGGTCCCTACACAGAAGCGGAGGAGGAGATTGGATTTATACCCCACCCTCCACTCGGAGTCTCAGAGCTGTTTACAGACGCCTTTCCCTTCCCCTCCCCACAACGGACACCCTGTGGGGTAGGTGGGGCTGAGAGAGATCTCTCGACAACTGCCCTTTCAAGGACAGCTCTTGTCAGAGCTATGGCTTGCCCAAGGCCATACCAGCAGCTGCATGTGAAGGAGTGGGGAATCAAACCCGGTTCTCCCAGATTAGAGTCCGCACACTTAGCCACTGCACCAAACGGGCTCTCACAGAGGCAGGCAGTGGCAAACCACCTCTCGTTTGTCTCTTGTTCTGACCTAGATGGCCCAGGCTAGCACGGTCCCTTCAGATTTCAGAAGCTCTAGGAAGGTCAGCCCTGGTTAGTACTTGTATGGGAGACCACCAAGAAATAACCGGGTCACTGCGCAGAGGCAGGCAATGGCAAACCATCTCTAAACATCTCTTGCCTTGAAAACCCTATTGGGATTGCCATAAATCGGCTGCGACTTGACGGCACTTTCCACTACCAATGAGGACCTATTCTGCCCATATTGACTGAAAGCCGCAGTTCCAGATAAGCGAAGGAAGATCTGCTCAGCGCACAGACAAAACCACACTAAATTCATCTTCTTCCTTCCTTCCGTCCTTCCTTCCAATAATGTCTTCAGGATGAGTGACGATACCACCAAGTTCCTTCTCAGGTCGTTTACACAATCCCCTGTGTTTTCATTTAGTGGAGTTTGGCAGGAGTTGTGACTATTGGGTAACTTAATCTATGCTCTCTGGGTTTTTTTTTTAATTTTTGAAAACAGCCTATCAATAACTGAACCGTACTGTGGAAAGCAAGTGTCAGTCAGGAAATGCTTCTGAAAACTCTCATTATATTCCCACTAGTCTTCGTGCTTTGCTCTTGGGTTTTAAAAATGCACAATTCGTGGAGAGTTACCATTTGGTCTTAACAGTGGTAGATCAAGATCAAGACGTTTATTGCGTTAGCTTCCAGACATAGCAAACATTTAAACAAGAGTATAACATAAAACTATAGGTAACCATTAAAATCTAAATACCCATTGAAACTACCAATACTATTCAATTATACATACATAAAATACCCCATACGAATTATTATTAGATATCATTTATCTATTTTTAATCAAATCTAGCCAGATTTTCCTCCTGTTAATGTTAAGAAACAGTGGTTTCCTAACTTGGGGGGGGGGGTGTCTCTCAAGGCAAGGTCCTTGGAAGTTTATAAAGCGTAAGAGATTCTCTGTTTTGATCCGAATGACTCCCAGAATGGTTATAAAGGTACTTAATTTTCCCACATCTCTCATATGGGGGGGGGGACGTCTGCTGGAATCAGTAAGGTCTCTTAGGGTTTGGGTTGTAAACAGTTAGGTTGGAAGTGATCACAACTGACAGCTAACGCCAGCGGGAGCCCGCAGCCTGTTCATGTACCCAGTTATGTGCATTGCAAAGAAATATCAAACGTAAACATTTCGGCGAGCCAAACACAACAGGCGAGCTATGGCTTTCCTCATGCCGATTTTGCTGGACTGCAGCAATTCCGATCTGATTTCGTGTCCCACTTCTGCCAAAAGACATATTTCCAACTTGCACCATTCCAACCGAGCTCGCAGGGAGAAGGGCGGGATAAATGTGTAGTGAATGAATGTGTCAGCAATGGGCCTTGCCTTGTTCTAGCAGATCTGCTGGCCAGACTGGACCGCCATTCAGAACTGGACCACCATTCAATCCGTGGGGGTCTCCAGAAAAATGGCTACGTTTGGGCTCATTAAAGGATTTTTGTTAGTGGATGCCCAAGCCTGTAGCCAGGATTTTGTGGCTTGTGGGGCAAATGTTTTTTCTGGTGGGGCTGAAGTTCCCAGTGCAGAAAGAAAAGCCATGGAGCCAAACAGAAAGCTGCTACCGGGATAGATAACTGCAAGCTGTCAGCCACTTTAGGTGACAGTTCTCAGCTGCTGCCTTTTTAATCGGTTTCTGGTCCAGTAAAGGTATCTCGTTCACACAATCCCTTTTTTTTTTTTTTGGCTTCTTTGACAGGTCTTGGAGCATATTTGATAACTCCCGCCAGGATCCCATGGGATTCACGGCCGCTCTCGAGGCCACGGACCTGGTTGGGGTCTTGCACATGCTGTACTGCATTCTCTTCCACGGCACCATCGCGGACGCCAGTGCGGCAAGCCCGAAAGAGAGCTACGCGGAGAATACTGTCCAAGTGGCCCTTCAGAGCTTACGCCTCTTCAACAGTTTTGCTGTTCTCGATCTAACGGCTTTCCAGGTAACGTCACCTTCCCAGCGCAATACAACAAACAAGCAAACACTGTGATAGGAATGACTAGGACAGGGGTGGCCAAATTTGCTCAGCGTTAGAGCCGCATAGAATAAACGTCAGATGCTTGAGAGCCGCAAGACATAAACGAATATTACACACATGTTTTTATCTTTAAAATAGGCAAATTTGCTTTTTATTAATATCAAATGAGACTGCCAAAAAAACACACAAAAGGGGTAAAAACAGATATTTATAATGATATTTATTTGTCCAATGATATTTATTTGTCTGCTAATGATATTTGTCTAAGAGAGAGAGAAAAAGATAGACAGGTGGAAAGAATGAAAGAGGTGGAAAGAAAGAGAGAGAGAGAAACAAAGAAAGCAAATAGATGGGAGGGAGGGAGGGAGGGAGGGAGTGCCTGGACTAGGACATTTAGTAAAGATCATATTATATTATAAATAAAACTTTACAATATTACAAGGAAAAGTCCACCATTCTCAATGAGCACCCGGATATAAGCTCATTTTGTCCCAATCTTCCTCAGGAGTAATCCTATCGTATTGAAAAGTTTCGGCCTCTTGATACAACTTGGTGTTACGTTAGGAGCAAACCGATGCTTAACTTCTTCTTTATTTTCTTCAAATTATCCCGGGGGGAAAACCCATGGTATTTAAAATGAAAAGCAACATGAAGCTGAATTGAATGTTGTTTTTTAAATTTTTAAATACTGTTTTGTAAATTTTTTAATTTTTTTTTTTAAGAACTTCTGGTTCCATTTCAAGTGTTTATATTAGGAGCAAGCCAATCTTGTCTTCTTCAACTAGGTGCAAAAGCCTTCTGTATTATGCTGGCTTAAATGTTCTCCCTCCCAGCGCATGCGTGCACACCCCTGTTTTAGAATCAGAATATAAATCGTTATACTTCTGTTTACATGTCCCCAAATCCAAAGAACCATGGGTAGCATTCCGCTTGTGCAACGGCTGTCCCGACACACACACACCCTTTCCACTACAGCTCCAAATTCATGAGAGTCGGGGCACCCTCTAGGACAGGGGTCCCCAACCATATTGAGCCTTTGGGGACCTTTAAAGTTTTGACAAAATGGTTGCCACAAAATGGCTGCCCAAGGGGGGTGGAGCGAGCCACAGCTTACCTTTAAGACATAAGAGAAGCCATGTTGGATCAGGCCAATGGCCCATGCAGTCCAACACTTTGTGTCACACAATGGCCAAAAACCAGGTGCCATCAGGAGGTCCACACATTAAGTAGGAATGTTGCTGAGCTCTACATGTAGTCCTAGAGCCATGCTGGAAGATGCATGTGAGCAAACTCTTAAAAGACCGGATAGTGCCAGCACAATACAAATAAACGTAAGAACATGAGAAACCATGTTGGATCAGGCCAGTGGCCCACCCAGTCCAACACTCTGTGTCACACAGTGGCCAAAACCCAGGGGCCATCAGGAGATCCACCAGTAGGGCCAGAATTCCAGAAGCCCTCCCACTGTTGCCCCCCCCCAAAAAAAGCACCAAGAATATAGAGCATCACTGCCCCAGACAGAAAACAATAAGAGAAGCCATGCTGGATCAGGTCAACGGCCCATCCAGTCCAACGCTCTGTGTCACACAGTGGCCCAAACCCAGGTGCTATCAGGAGGTCCACCAGCGGAGCCAGAAGTCCAGAAGCCCTCCCACTGTTGCCCCCCAAGCACCAAGAATAGTACAGAGCATCACTGCCCCAGACATAAGAGCATAAGAGAAGCCATGTTGGATCAGGCCAACACTCTGTGTCACACAAGAACACAGAGCATCACTGCCCTAGGCAGAGTGCTCCATCTATACCTTACGGCTAATAACCACTGATGGACCTTTCCTCCATATGTTTTTCCAGTCCCCTCTTGAAGCTCTCTACGCCTTCAGTCCCACAGTGAAGATCCTTGCTCTGTGGTGGCAGCCACTGCCGAAGCAACATTTTAAAAAATCCGCACAGCCAGTCAGACCTCCAGTGGCCAATCAGAAGCCTTGCTGAGCAAAAGCCCCACCCGGCACGGCCCACTTTCAAAAAACATTCGGTGGGCGCCAGGAGGGGTGTCAGCGAGTTCCATGGTGCCCACAGATACCACATTGGAGACCCCTGCTCTAGGATAACGTACAACATGGCAGAGGGATTACAGCTTCAGGGGATGATGGGCAGAAATTGGAGACACCGCCCCCCTCACCACGTGTGCGCAGAAGTGCCTTGTGTTGGTGCCAGTGTGGCCCTTGAAGCTTTTACGCGAGCCTATGGAGTGATGTCAGTGTATAAATTGAAATAAATAGATATTTCACTTCATCGCGAAGGCCAAGTGGCCGTGAAGGTTATTTGGCTGCGAGAATCTCGCTCCTAATTTTTTAAAAAGCCCTCCAGTTTTAATAAGTATGATGAGAAACGTGAGATATTTTCCCCCCGCGCCAAGCCTACAAACAAAACGGAGTGCGCCTGCTACGTTTGGCAGGTGACTTCTGCGTATGCGACGTTTTCAGTGTCGAAAAGCACTCAGGGTCTTTATTACACTGAACAGCTGCTGGTTTTTCTGTCTATCTCTGGGCGGGGGCACTCGGCTGAGTAGCGGAGGCAAATTAACTCATTCGCCGAAGGTCGCAAGCTCAGGCGCCGCGGTCTTATGCGGGGTTTCAGGCGCACGCCAGCGTGAAAATTCCCATGCGCTCAAATAGTCTCATGGTTTATAGGGTAGGTCTTCCATTTATCTTGAGAGTCTAAACACATCGGGAAGGTGTCAGAGAGAAGCAATGCAGGATACCAAGCTGCCAGTGCCGCTGGTTTAGGAGGAAATGCCGTTTCCCTTGAAAAATGATTTTTCTGATTTTAGTGTGTAAACTTTGGGTGCCCTGTGTTGTTATCAGAGAAGGCTGAAAGCAGACCATGCGGGCGTGGGAGCACACTCGCGCATTTGCAAGGCGAGAGAAGACACTGAGCTCAAGAGGATGCCGCCACATAACGTAGTGTCAACTAATAAATGATTACCGGGCACAGCCCGTGTTGGGTTCCAGAACCCAACAAAGAGAACGGGTGGTCTGCGTGCACATTTCCTATGTATTCCAGTGGCAATAGTGTAGGACGACGGTCTCCTAACGTGGTGCCCGTGGGTGCCACAGTGCGCGCCGACACCTTTCCCAGTGCCCACCAAGTGTTTCTAGAAAGTGGGCGGGGCCAAGTGGGGCTTTTTGCTCAGCAGGACGTCTGATTGGCCACTGGAGATCTGATTGGCTTTGCGGATTTTGGGGGGGGGGAGTGTGTTTTGTATTTTTCATATGTGCATGCAGGGCTATTTTGGGGCAGGAACGCACAGGAACGGAGTTCCGGCTGGCTCCCGGGTTGGCCACACCTAGCAGGAACTCATTAGCATAACAGGCCACACCCAACAGCAGACACTCATTGGAATTGGCTACATCAGGGGTGTGTGGCCTAACATGCAAAGGAGTTCCTGCTACAAAAAAAAGGCCCTGGGTTTTGACAACAAACAAGGTAAACAGAATAAGAAGCAAAAGGTGGGTGTGGCTGGATGACCACACTTCTGGTAGCATGTGGGTGTGGCCTAATATGCTAATGAACTGTACTGTCAGGGGTGTGGCCTAATATGCTAATGAGTTTCTGCTGTTGGGTATGCCTTATTATGCTAATGAGTTCCCGCTGGGCTTTTTCTACAAAAAAAGCCTTGTGTGCATGCGTGTGAGTGTGTGTGCACCTGGAAGTCATTGCGACCTCTCGTGACCGACCTCTAGTGACTGACCCCTACCGGGGGCCTGGAGGATATTCAGAGAGGGGGCTGAATAAAGCCTGCCCCCACCTCCCGACTGCTGGTATTCCAAGGAGGTCTCCCATCCAAGGACTTGCCAGAGCTTCGCTTCCGAGATCTGATGAGGTCGAGCTTGCCTGGGCTATCCAGGTCAGGGCCGGCTTTGCAGATTTTAAAAGACATTGCTTCGGCAACAGCCGTCAACACAGCACTCTGTGAATGAAGGGGAGCATCGCGGTAAGCAGGGAAACATTGTTACGTCGGTTCGTTTAAAAAGGCGTCCTGTCAATGTCAAGCAGAGCTTCTGTTTGAAGTGTTGAAGATCTGCTATTCAAGTTACGCACACCCTCACCACTGGACATTTTGTGGTTGGCTCCGCCTCCTGCAGCGGCCATTTTGTGGCTGCCTCCACCACACTGTGTCAGAATTCCGAAGGTGCCCGCAGGCTGAAAAGGGTTGGGGACCAGTGTTCTAGTGGTTAAGTGTGCGGACTCTAATCTGGGAGAACAGGGTTTGATTCCCCACTCCTCCACTTGCAGCTGCTGGATGACCTTGGGCAAGCCGTAGTTCTGATAAGAGCTGTTCTTGAAAAAAGAGCAGCTGCTGTCAAGAGCTCTCTCAGCCCCACCTACCTCACAGGGTGTCTGTTGTGGGGAGGAGAAGGGAAAGGAGTTTGTAAGCCGCTCTGAGACACCTTTGGGTAGTGAAGGGCGGGGCATAAATCCAATCTCTTCTTCTTCTCTTCTCTCTAAGATGAGTTAGTGTGAGCCAGCTCACAGTTTTTTAGCCTCCAGCTCACATTTTTGCCTTAGCTCAGGAAGGATGGCTCCAGAGCAAACTAGTTTATGCAGCTGCCAAATCGCTCCCTCACAACTTTAATGCCGGTAGCTCACAAAGTAGAATTTTTTGCTCACCGGACTCCAGAGCTGAGAGGGACCCCCAGTGTAGGAGTTCTCCAAGGGTTGTTCCCTGCGGCATTATGCGACAAAGACCAAAAATTATCACCGGGACGTATTTTGGACAGACACATTTGTGCTCTTCCCCCATGATTTTAAGCGCATCTCTTTTACCCCAGCCCTAAAACAGGGAGCCTCCGAGATGTAAATGATGGATACTTTTCCACAGGCCTGCTGGGCGGTTTCATCCCAGCGAGTCGACTTTGATGTTCGTTCCTCATGCATCACTTTTCCCCTCTGACCCCACACTGCTTTTTCTGCTTGACATGTTTATTAAATAGAGGCTGGAGGCTGCATAGATAAAATGGACTTCTCCCGAATTTCCCGAGAACCGGTTTGCCTGTTTCCAACCAGACTTTCCTCCCAGTGCCCCCCCCCAAAAAAAAAAAATTAAATCCCTGTGGCTAACGAGGATTCCCCCCCCTCCCCGTTTGCAATATACCTTACCGAGCAATTAGTTTTAGAAGTATTACTTGTTGAGAGCAGTTGTCTGTGCAAAAATCCAAGACTGAGCTTTGGGAGGGTAGGGATTTGTGAAGGGGAGCCTGTGACCAGCACTGGTGGAAGGGGGGGGGGATACTCTTAGGGGTTTAGGAGACAGCTTAGCAATGTTTCCCTGGCCCTTGTACATGGGGGGGAGGGGGACAGAGGTGGAGAAAGGGGCACTATCGAGCTTAAAGAGGAATCTCCAGCCGGTTTATCGCAGTGGCTAGGGTATAGTGACCCCTTTTTAAATGCGGACGGCAGTGGGAGGAGATTTTCATAAGAACATAAGAGAAGCCATGTTGGATCAGGGCAATGGCCCATCCAGCCCAACACTCTGTGTCACACAGTGTCCCAAATACCAGGTTCCATCAGGAGGTCCTCTGAAGGTCCAACATCTGAGCAGAGAGGCTGAGGCCTTCCCCTAATAAGAGCATTAGAAGAGCCCTTCTGGATCAAACCAGTGGTCCATCTAGTCCAGCCTCCTGTCCCACACTTCCTCTGGATGGCCAACAACAGGACATGATGCTGCCTCCTGGCTCTGGGATTCAGAGGATCAGTGGAGGTTTTCCCTCAGTCACCATGGCTAGTAGCCACTGAAAGATTTATCCTCCATGAATCTTACCTAAAAGGTAAAGGTTCCCTTGTTCGAAAGCCAGTCGAATCCGACTCTAGGGTTGCGGTGCTCATCTCCGTTTCCAAGCCGAAGAGCCAGCGCTGTCCGAAGACTTCTCCGTGGTCATGTGGCCGGCATGACTAAACACCAAGGCGCACGGAATGCTGTTACCTTCCCACTGAAGTGGTACCTGTTTATCTACTTGCAATTTCTTGCTTTCGAACTGCTAGGTTGGCAGGAGCTGGAACTAGAGACGGGAGCTTACTTCGTCATGTGGCAACTCGGGTCTCGAACTGCTGAACTACCGACCTTCCACAGCCTGCAGTTCAGCGTCTTAACCACTTGAACCACCGCAGCTTCCCTCTCCCCTTTTAAAGCTGTTTATTCCCGTGGCCATCACTACATCCTCTGGCAGTCAATTCCACCTTTTCATCTCTCCCTGTGTAAAGTAGTATTTCCTTTTGTCCGTCCTGAACCTACTGCCCGTCAGCTGCATTGGAGGCCCTGGAGTTTTAGTCTTATGGGAGAGGGAGAAAAAGTGCGCTTTGTCCGCTCTCTCCACCCCAGGCATAATGTTATAAATCTCTGTCATGTCCCCGAATCTTCAGCCTTTCCTCATCGGGAAGCCACTCCAAGCCCCTAATCGTCTTGGTTGTCTCTCTGTCCATTTATTATTGGGCCGTGCATGTAATAACGCCCAGGTGACAGATCCTGTGGGTTTATAGTTGTAGCTCTCACTGGTTTATCTGAGTGCTTGCTGATTGAAAGTGGTAATTGTTTCTTTCCTCCCCCCCCCAGTCAATTGTGGGTGCCGAAGGACTGTCGCTGGCGTTCCGTCACATCGTAAGCTCACTGCTGTGGCACTGTTCCCAGCACACCTGCGAAGCTCTGCTCCATGAAGTCATCGTCTGTGTTGGGTACTTCACCGTAAACCACCCGGATAATCAGGTAAGGGTATCTGCTGGAAGGAAGCGCCACGTGTTCTCTGCTGTAGGTTAGAAACTCCCACTTTTGCAAGTCTCCCTGTTCATTTTTTATTGGCTCAGCTCTGCTTGGGCCACGGGGTACCCTCGCCTTTCTCACCTGGGTTATAAGGCTGCCAGCTCTGACCAAAATAAGCTCTTATGCTGTTCGTAACAGTAGCACGTACAACCAGAGAAGCCACACAGATCTGTCTTTTCTCTGAGAGTTGTTGGAATGGTAGCTCCGATGCGAGGCTTCCCCATATCCACAGGCCTCTCTGTTCATTTATTAACCAGGCTGTTTTGCGTGAACTGTGGAACTCTCCCATGAACAAAGCTCTTGGGAAAGCGTGTGTGTGTATGCTCAAGAGCTCAGAGCTGCACAGAGGGTCAGAGAAAAATCTCCTCTTGAAAAGTTTGAGATCTTAAGAATCTTGTGGTCAGTGCAGAACATGTCTGGTTCTCCGAGTTGCGTGACTTTCCTTTTGTGTTGATTGATGGTGCAGTGAAGCCATTTCCTTGACTTCTACAAGTTCTTTTCTGTCCCGTGGTTTCTTGTTTGGAGGCCGCTTGAATAACGTCTCAGAGCAGTGGGGCCGTTATTCCTGCAGAAGAAATTTTCTTTGCATCGTTCCCTCTATCTGCAGGACTATAGGAAGAGCTGCTGGCTTTAGCCAATCGTGTGTGTGTGTTTTCTCTTAGTTGGAGTTGGGGGAAGCTCGCATTGTTTTTTGTTCATGACCTTGGTTGCTCCTTAAGAACACGTTTGAGACACTGGCTTGGGTTTCGTTTCCAAAAGTGTCACTCAAAATCAGTCTCTGATTTCTGCATCAGTCATTTGAACGTAAGGCCTCCATCGCTGAGCAAGGGTGTGGTGTTGTTGTTTTTAAGCTCCCTTCCATTTTAGCAATGTTAGCAACTAGGAGTGTGCAATTTTTTTTCCCTCGGTATTTTTCGGTTTGGGTCAATAGCAGACGGGGGTGGTGGTGGAACGTCTGTCATTCTTGAGACAGTTTTGGATCCTTCCATTCTTTTGGCTGCAATGCCTCGGAACGCCGAATCCAGAGAGAGCTTTGGCTCCAGAGGGCAACGGTTAAAACAGTATTTGGAAGCTGAAGCAGAATTTCACTTCACTGAAGCGGGAGGTCCGAAATCCCTTCCGCCCCATTCTGATGCTCTTCAGACCGTGTTCCGGCAGTGCATTTCTTCGACCTCCCCAGAGGCTGACTGGAGCTTTTTGGATTCCCCATTGCGACAGGACCAGCCTTCTTGGCACACGGAAGCGCCCGGGAAAATGCACTTTTCTCTGCAGTTTAACCATTTTGCGTTTGGCACAGGTTTCGAGACAGATGGGGACTCCTTGGAACGGCCCAGGCAGCGTTCGTATGCCAGCAGTAGCATACAACGGGGAATCCAAGGAGGCATCGCTTGTGCGCCCGCCTCTGTCGGCATCTTCGTCTGAGGTCACAGGTCTGACTGATGTGGGCGCCAGGCACCGTGCCACCCCAGCAGGTGGCCTTGGTGAATCAGCCAAGCGGACTCCGTTTGGTCTGCGGGAGGGGTTTGCGATGATGCATCCGTAGTGAAGAAGAAGAGGAGATTGGATTTATACCCCACCCTTCACTACCCAAAGGAGTCTCAGAGCGGCTTACAAACTCCTTTCCCTTCCCCTCCCGACAACAGACACCCTGTGAGGTAGGTGGGGCTGAGAGAGCTCTGACAGAAACTGCTCTTTTTCAAGGACAGCTGTGCCAGAACTATGGCTTGCCCAAGGACATCCAGCCAGGTGCAAGTGGAGGAGTGGGGAATCCAACCCAGTTCTCCCAGGTTAGAGTCCGCGCACTTAACCACTACACCAAACTGGTATTTGTCTTCCCTTCCACCAATTGCAGGCTGTCACTGGTCTGAGGGCGCTTTCACACAGGCCAAATAATGCACTTTCAGTTCACTTGCGATGCAGTTTAACAATCATTTGCAAGTGGATTTTCCTATTTCACAGAGAAAGAAATAAGAACATAAGAGAAGCCAATGTTGGATCAGGCCAATGGCCCATCCAGTCCAACACTCTGTGTCACACAGTGGCCAAAAATACCAGGTACCATCAGGAGGTCCAGCAGTGGGGCCAGAACTCCAGAAGCCCTCCCACTGTTCCCCTCCCCCCCAAGCACCAAGAAGACAGCATCACTGTCTCTGACATGGGCACTTTCACACACAATGAATAATGCACTTTCATTGCACTTTGGAACTGGATTTTACTGCGAGAAACAGCAGGATCCACTTGCAAGCAATCACCAAAGTGCACTGAAAGTGCCATCAGGAGGTCCAGCAGTGGGGCCAGGACACTAGAAGCCCTCCCACTGTTGCCCCCCCCCCCCAAGCACCAAGAATACAGTGTGTCACCTGCCCCAGACTGAGAGTTCCTATCTATACCTTGTGGCTAATAGCCACTGATGGACTTCTGCTCCATATGCTTATCTAATTCCCTCTTGAAGCCGTCCATGCTTGTAGCCGCCGCCACCTCCTGTGGCAGTGAATTCCATGTGTTAATCACTCTTTGGGTGAAGAAGTACTTCCTCTTATCTGTTTTAACCTGACTGCTCAGCAATTTCATTGACTGCCCACAAGTTCTTGTATTGTGAGATAGGGAGAAAAGGAGCTCTTTCTCGTCCTGCTCTCTCCCATGCACAATCTTATGAACCTCGATCATGTCACTCTTCAGCCGTCGTTTCTCCAAGCTAAAGAGCCCCAAGCGTTTTAACTTTTCTTCAAAGGGAAAGTGTTCCAACCCTTTTATCATTCTAGTGATTTGTACAGCCGCAAAGTGCATTGAATCCAGCCGCAAAACGCATTGAAAGTGGATTGGAAATACGCCATTCGGTGTGCATGAGAGCACCCTTGAAGCCACTCAGAATCATAGAATCATAGAGTTGAAGGGGCCTCCAGGGTCATCTAGTCCAACCCCCCCTGCACAATGCAGGAAATTCGCAAATACCTCCCCTCCCCACACACCCCCAGTGACCCGTGATCCATGCCCAGAAGATGACAAAAACACCTCCAGGATCCCCGGCCAAACTGGCCTGGAGAAAAATTGCTTCCTGACCCCCCAGTGTCGATCAGCATTTTCCTGGGCATGTAGGAAAGGGTCACAAAAACAAAGCACTGATGCAACCCTTCCTGCCGTCCCTCTCATGATGTGCCTGAGTTCACAAACTTCTTAGCTTCAGGGCTACTTTTGGGCAGGAACGCACAGGAACGGAGTTCCGGCTGGCTCCCGAGTTGGCCACACCCAGCAGGAACTCATTAGCATAATAGGCCACACCCAACAGCAGGAACTCAGGCTGAGAGAGCTCTTTCCAGAACTGCTCCTGAGAGAAGAGCTCTGTGAGAACTTGTGACTGAGCCAAGGTAAACAGAATAAGAAGCAAAAGGTGGGTGTGGCTGGATGACCACACGTCTGGTAACGGGGGTGCGGCCTAATATGCTAATGAGCTGTACTGTCATGGGTGTGGCTTAATATGCTAGTGAGTTCCTGCTGGGCTTTTTCTACAAAAAAAGCCCTGCCTCTCATGATGTGCCTGAGTTCACAAGCTTCCTAGCTTCATCCACGAAACTCAGCAAAATCTATTGCCCGGTCAGTGTCTGGGTGAGAAACTGCTCTGAAGTCCCCCTGGGGTGTCCTGAGAAAAACTATAAGAGAAATTACAGGTCCACCTCTGATTTGGATCCATTTTTCTGGATTAATAAGTGAGCCAGATCAGCCTTTTTACAAAAAACAAGGAGGAGATTGGATTTATACCCCGCCGCTCACTACCCGAAGGAGTCTCGGAGTGGCTTACAATCTCCTTTCCCTTCCCCCTCCCCACAACAGACACCCTGTGAGGTAGGTGGGGCTGAGAGAGCTCTTTCCAGAACTGCTCCTGAGAGAAGAGCTCTGTGGGAACTTGTGACTGACCCAAGGTCACACCAGCAGCTGCATGTGGAGGCGAGGGGAATCAAACCCGCAGATTCGAGTCCGCGCTCCTAACCACTACCTAGCCGGCTAGTACGAGTAGGTGACTGTGTGCTCCGCGCATTCAGGGTATGCCTATTTATGCATCTATAGTTTTATCCTTTCAGGTTATGCATATTAATTTTGTGTAGGAATGGTGACGTGCGGTTGCATACTTTTTTGCACAGTGTTCTTTTCCAGCAGAATGATGTAACCGAGGCATTCTTTCTGGAGTAGAGAAGACAGGAATGCAATTTGGAGGGGAGCTGTGGCTCAGTGGTAGAGCCTCTTTGGTGTGTTGTTGTTGTTATTTATTAAATATGTAGTGTGTTAAATTTGTAGTGGTAGATCCAGTGTGGCGCAGTGGTTAAGAGTGGCTGTTCATCTCAAAATACTGCTAAACGGAAAAATGACTATTTCCCTATTGTCTACTTACACTGATCTCTTATATTCCTGAGGTACAAACACCAATATGTTGTATTGCATCGAGTGCTTAATGTCTCTGGCTGACAGGTTATGTTCTTTTATCATTTCTTCCATGCTCAATCCGATTCCAAAGTGAAACCTATAATTATGCTCTCTCTCTCCAACTGTTACGTTTATATTTTTAGATCACTTCCATTGTAGCCGAGTCCGCGCTCCTAACCACTACCTAGCCGGCTAGTACGAGTAGGTGACTGTGTGCTCCGCGCATTCAGGGTATGCCTATTTATGCATCTATAGTTTTATCCTTTCAGGTTATGCATATTAATTTTGTGTAGGGATGGTGACGTGCGATTGCATACTTTTTTTGCACAGTGTTCTTTTCCAGCAGAATGATGTAACCGAGGCATTCTTTCTGGAGTAGAGAAGACAGGAATACAATTTGGGGGGGAGCTGTGGCTCAGTGGTAGAGCCCCTTTGGTGTGTTGTTGTTGTTGTTATTTATTAAATGTGTAGTGTATTAAATTTGTAGTGGTAGATCCAGTGTGGCGCAGTGGTTAAGAGTGGCTGTTCCC